GTTGGGTTGGGGGTTTTTTGCATGCTGCCGCGGCTCCTTCTCCCAGAGCCCGCCTCCCTCCCTCCCTCCCTCCGCCAGCATCCCGCTCCTCCGCCCGGGGGGCGGGAATACCCCCCTCCTGCACCCCCAGCCTCGCCCGCCCTTGCTGTTGGGGCTGATGCTGGGCCAGGGAAGACGTCCTCCCCCCGCCCTAGCTGCACCAGGGAAGCTCTGCACTCTGCTCCGGCTTGGCCCCGCCTGCGGTGGCTGTAGGACTGGAGAAGCCCTGGGGAGGGGTGTTTAAAGACCCACCCCAGGGATGGAGGAGGGGAAAGGTGCTTCCAGGTCCCGCTGCCGTGAAGTGTCACGGGGAGGGAACCCTGTGCCCGGAGGACTTTTTTCTTTCTTCCTCCCTCCCCCCCCAGACCTTGGCGCCTTTCCTCCTCCCCTTACAGAAAGGGTGGAAGTTTCCAGGCTGTTGGGCCTTGGAGCCGCGCTGCTCCCTCCCTGCAAGGCACCGGGGTACTGCTGCGGGCACCCAGGCCAGGGCAGCACCCGCACAACCCCCACACAGGGGGTCTCACTGCCTGAGGTGCCAGCTCTGAGCAGGGCCCAAACTAGCCAAGGTTCTAGCGTCATCGATTTAAAAACAGGTTGTTAAGACCCAGGTGAGCACAATCCCTGGCTGGGGTGGTCTGGTTGGGGCTGGTCCTGCTTGGATTAGATGACCTCCTGAGGTCCCTTCCAATAATTCTGCAATTTTCTGAGACAAAGAAAAAAGTTCTCTAAAAAATTCCTTACTAGCTCTTGTGTTAAACTGTTGTTGAGAACGTGCTCAACCTTTTAGGAGCATGCTCAACCTTCTCAGAAATCAAGTAATTTATTTAGATGCCTAAGTAAGGATGTAGAAGACTAACTTCAGGCACCCTTTTTAAAAAATTTGGTATGTATGGGTGTTCAGCTTTCCCCTGTAAAATGTGAGTAAGCAAAATCTCTAAAACACTTTAAGATATTTAGATGAAAATATAGAAGAGCTTAATATAATTTTTGTCCATTATTAATGTCCTAATATTAGAAAAGTTGGCTCTTGTTCCTTGGAAACCATGTTGGGTTGAATCTAAATGAGCTATTAGAACTGGAGTCAGGCAAGGATGTGCAATTGCACCAGCACTCTTTATCTATATTGCAGCTATTCTTCATCTCATTGCTGATAGATTTCCACCTGGAGTCAGCATCCAGAATCACAAGAACAGGAATCTCTTTAATATCAACCAGTTATGTTCCAAATCCACAATGATCTTCAGTATGCTGACAGTTGTGTCACGTGCCCGCTCAACTGAAGAGCTCTAGTTCACCTTTGATTGCTTCTGTGAAGCATATGGAATGCTTGGACTTGCTGTCAGCTTCATGAAAACCAAGATACTTGACCAACTCACTCTAAGCCAACAATAAGGCATTGATTATGTGTAGCAAACCTGTTGCATAAATTGCTGGTTTTATCCCCTGGAGGCTAGTCCAATTCACCTCTAGAAGAGAGTCACACTTTCAGGCTGGGTCCAACTCTATTTTATTGCTTGCAAGCAGGCCGACAGGGGAGCTTGTTGCTCAGATCAGTGTCGACCCTAAACAAAGCACGCGCACTGCTTTTATTGAGCTAGCAATTTTTAGTTGGTGTGTTACATTCTGATTGGTCATTACAAAGCAAAACCTGGGCAACATGTAAGACATGCGTAGTGGGCCATCCTGTACCATGTGGGTGGAAAGTTACAGAATGCAGGCATTAATACTAAAACAAGGAACAAAGAAACATAGAGAAAAGTATCTATTTTCGCTACAAACCCACCTCACTATGGTAGCAGATAGAGGAGACAAAAATAGCTTTGACTCAGTATCACCAGGATCTACTCCTTGCTTCCAGAACTATTTGCTACATCTGCAGGTGAACATGCATATTGGATTATCCTCCTCAGTCATCTACAGACTCACCAATAACTTCCCTCTACTATATGAGGACAACAGTCTCTCAGAGGGACTGCTGATGACCAAAATCAGTATTTCAACTAAACTTAATATTTTTTTTCTGAGAAAAACGTGTTTATTCATATTTTCAGTTCTTACCTATATTACAAAATGATAGGTGATGCTGTTATTTTTTTACTATAACTATTAAACGTTATTGCTACTTGTTACGTATGTCAAGCTCTAATTCAATGGAAAGGAGCTCAAGTGCAAGAGAATTTTTAATTTTTTTATTAGGTAGAATTAATTTAAATGTTCTGAATACATATTAAAATATGTTTGTGTTTGATTATTAAATGCTTTAAATGCAAAAGAAGTATTATCGATACTGTGGTAATTGAAATCATTGTTTCTGATTGCTGTGTCCTTCAAGATTAAGAGCTGTTAGAGCTCATCTAACAACCAGCCTCTATTCAGAGACTAGAAAACATGCTATCTTCCTTTTTCAACTCTGGATCAGTTTTATTGGCTCTGAATTAGCTAGTCATTGAATTGAACTAAGTAAACTAAAATAAAATAGTCTCTGCACCTGTAAAATAGACTACTGCTACTTCTTGTTTAGTACTTCATTTTAGGTGCTTAATCTGTGATTTCTGACAGTATTATGAATTTCTTTGAGCAAGTGTGTACTATTTATTTGTTGTTTAATTTAAATTCTTTTAATTAATTTTGATATGTTTAGGCCCTAGCATAGGTTGCTATAATTTCAGGTTTAATTTTAAATGGATTTACTTATTTAAAAGAGAAAATATTTAATAAATATGATTTGGAGCTTTTTGTTAAAATTGATTATCAGTCACTCTGGAAACAGTATGGAATCGTAAGTTAAGTAAGTCAAATTGTACTTGCAGTGTGATTTTGATGCAGTTGATGGGAGTACAAAGCTTTTCTAAAGATAAACTGTAGTTGCCTTTGGGGTGTGCAAAGAGACTGATACTTAAAAGTAGAGAAGTGTTTATATCCTGTTTCTAACTATTGGTATGGAGAGCAAAAAATTACTGTAGACAAACATGTTAATTATTAAATGAATGAGGAAAAAAAAGAATTTCAGAATCTACAAGCTAACATTCTCGTTTATTACCCAACTCCCTCCCCCCTACCACCCTGAGTTCCACCTCTCAAAGCCTCTTATGCTGTTTACTAACCATCTCTTCTCCTCCTTCAGCCAAAGATGAGACTGACAATTCCCTGCATGTTAAGTTACTGTCAGTATTCCATTGCCAATTTTGTCTCTGCCAAATATTATTACTTAGTGCATCAGAACCAAACCAAAGTCCATATTTGTTGCATCATTGATTTACTATCATATGAGTTAATTCTTTGGTGGAAATAGTCAGATTTGAAAGGGCTTTGATTTAGGTCAGTGTTGATTTACATATGGCAGGAGTCAATGGGCTTGTGTTTTCTTTCACTAATCCTTAATTGTAGATTGAAATGTATCGGTTGCCTCTCAGTTGTCCTATATCAGGTAGAACATTCAATAGTTGAACTATCTTTCTGTTCTTCTCCTGGAGAACTCCACTTGATACCTCTTTCCAGATGCACGTTTGATCATTAATAACTACTCACTGAGCACAGTGATCTAACTAGTTTTGTATCCACCTTACAGAAGTTTTGTCTAGTCTGCATTTCCTTAGAATGTTGTGGGAGAGAATGTCAAAAGCCTTGCTAAAACCTCATCCACTATTCTCCCTCCATCAGTATAACCTGTTATCATAGAGGAGATCCAGGTGGGTCCGGTGTGACTTGCTCTTGAAGAATACATGCTGGCTGTTTCTGATCAGCGTTTTCTACTGCAGGTGCTGAGAAATAGACTCCTTGATGAACTGCCCCATAATCTTTCCTGGTACAGATATCAGATTGACTGTTCCGTAATTCCCCAGATTCTCCTCCTTCCTTTTCTTAAAGATAGATGCATGTAGATTCTCTTCCTACCCTTTTTCTAGTCACCTGGAACTTCACCTGGTCTATCCAAGTTCTCAGAGATGATATTGGTAGTGCAGTGTCACTCTCCTGTGAAACTGTTGGGTGATTAGTCACAGTTAGGACTTATTTCTGAACAGCGATGGCAAAAGAAGGTAGAATGTTCTAGGAAAGTGACAGCAAGAACAGGCAGGTTCTTGACTATATACTAATGAAGGCAAACAGTTGGAGACCTGCTTGTTCTGTAAGATGATCATCTTATTTTAGCTTGCATGTTTAATAGGATAAAGCATTTTTTGTGTTATGTAGTAAGCAAAGGTCCCATCTTGTTTAGGCCAGCAGGCCCTTAACTGAGCTTAAGCTAAAATTAGCATGACCTTTAGCATGGTTATTTTTGTTAAGAATGGTCTGGTGGAAGGGTCTAGTTCCTGTCTGGTAAAGGTCAGGTTCCTCTTTTAAAATACTTTGCTTTTGAGATGAGCATGTGTGACTAAACTAATTCTATAGGCTTTTAAATTGTAAACAAATTTAATTATAAAAGGGAATTTTGTGATGTTATATGCTAACGTTGCTCTATAAAATATGCTGAAGCTCACAACAAACTAAGGCTGGTAACAAATATCTTGTGTGGGTAACTGCTTAAGTTTTCTTATCCTCATCAATAAACCAGTTGAGAAGCTGTGCTGGATTTGTCTTCTAAACACTTATTCATGAATTCGTCCATAGTCAGTAGTGGGTTGTGAGGGATTTCTTGGGTTAATCTCACCCCCTGTTCCAACTGTTAGTAAAGTGAGAATACTGGCCAGCCCACTTGCTCGGAAGGCAAAGAGGAGAGCTGAAATATGGCAGTGATCAGAAGGAAAATGATGGAATACATGGGATCTTTAGAACAAAAAGAAAAAAATGGTGGCAAACCAAAACAAAACATTTTTGCAAACATTTTTTCTATTTTTAACAGTCTCAAGTCTTTTATTATCCCCGGTCCTGCAAGATGAGCTATGCAGATAGGGTTACTGGAGGTCCCATGGTCCACTCTGGACCAACTCTTGGAATACAGTCATATTTTTAACTTCATGGTACAGTGATTAAAAGAATAATTTTAGATGGTGGGAGAATGCTAACACCACAAAGATGTACAAGTTTATTGTCCTGATTTGTTTTGTTTTTTTAATCACAGATTTTTAAAAACATCTGGACAATAATAGTCCACAAGAATTTCCAAAAGACCTCTAACATGCATTTTTAAAGCATAAGCATAATAAATGTATAGCTAGCACATTACAATAAATTTGTCATTCAGTTCATTCTCATTAACGTAGGCTGTTTCAATGAAAGATATGTTGGCTTATTTCAGTCATGAAAAGCTGTTCTTCTTTCTGTACTCCCAAAGATAAAGGAATAGCGCTAAATCCTTAAAAAGTATCCACAAGCCATGATTGTGCTGTAACCCTTCTATTACATAAATAAAAGTTTCCTTTACAGTGTCCTGTACAGTCAGCATTTTACACCAATAAATCTCAAATTGACTCCAGTTGCTTATTATGATTGAAAAGCTATTTATTACTTCTGCACTGGAACTGTATCTGGCAAGATGCCAGATGCAAAAGAAGATGTGATCCCTGAGTAGTTCACAAGCTAGGAAAAGCAATTGCACATTATCAGGTACTTATTTTCAATACTATGGTACAATAATTGTGAATACTAAAGAGCCTGTTGCTAAAACAGTCACAAAAAATAGTGTCTCTGATCCATACTTAATGACCTGAATCCAGGATCCCAAAAACAGTTATATAAAGTTGTCTGGAATTGGATCAGCATGTACATTAATAATAAATATAAACATACAAGGGTGTAGTAAAGTGGTTGACCATTATTAGATTAGGACAAACAAAATAGAAACATCCCAGATCATCCACTTTACATAATAATGCACAAGCAAATAACCACTTGAAATCTGTTCTCCTTGATATAAACACAGCAGCATTCCTGTAAAGACTTAAGTTTGGTAAGTGATTATTTTATGGGTCAGCCAGTTTTGAAGGAGTTTTTTTCGTGGGATTAAGTGGGGAGTGTATTTTGCTGCAGTTTGTCTTTGAAGTGACTGCTGTTGTCAATGTAATATTTTATAGATTGTTAAAAAGGGAGCTTATGTTAATAAATACTTATTTCATGTTATCATCATCTATTAAAAAGAGACTAATATTCTGGATAGCATATCAGTTTATGATTAACTGGGATCTTAAAAGACCGGGAATTATGTATTATAAAAAGATTACATTTCACATCAGTGAAATATTCATCAATTTGAAAAAAAAAATACCTATTTCCAAATCACTTTGAGTTAATGCTTCTACTTCTAT